TGCAGTGTTACAGATCGTGTCACGGCTCATGTTGCAACATCATCTGCAGCACACTTTGGAAAACCAGATGAAAACAGAGATTTTTCAGATTCTGACGGTTCCAGTAATGGTGAAGAACTGACTGAGGAGAAAATCCAGGAGGCATATGAAACCAAGTTTAACAAATGGGTTTTGGTGGTTAAAATGAATAAGTCTTTGCGGAAGCAAGTGGATGAGCTTATTAAAGAGAAAGATGTACTTAATAGGACTGCTGTAAATTATGAATTTCGGGCTGTTGAAAAGGAGAAAAAGCTGCAGAAGACAAGAGCTGAACTAGAGCACACTCAAAAGTCATTGAAGATGATGAATTTTGACACCACAAAATTGGATCACATTCTCTCGATAGGAAAAGCGAGTGGTGATCGATATGGCCTTGGCTATATTGGTGAGAGCTCAATGTCCAAAACAGTATTTGTGAAGAAGATGTCTGCCCCTAAGCCTCCGACCTCCTCCACTAAGAAGGTTACTATCTCATCCCCTCGACATAGAAAGTTTGTCCCCACATGCCATTACTACAGATTACCTGGCCACATAAGACCGAGATGCTACAAGTATTTAAATGCTTTGGAGAAATGTATGCTTATTAATCCACCAAATTCTGCAAATTTAAAGAAGACACCTAACGTGAAGATTAATGTGAAAAATAATTTTTCTAAACGTGTATGGATAAGGAAATCTGATATGAGGTGTCATAAGGCTTATACTTCTTTAGAAGCATGCACTAATGATTGTGGGTGTAGTGATGCTAGTTGCACTAAGCGATTGACAGATGTTAAGAGCATTATACAAGGGAGAATGCTACATTCAGGGGGAGTAAGACACATAGAAGATTCAGGGGGAGTAAGTTGCTGAAGACAGTTCTAGGGTGTGAATTTTTTTTTTATTTTTGTGTCTTTGGCTTATTTTTGACAAAAAGGGGGAGAACAATGTAATTTTATATTTTTTTTTGTCGTTTTTGAATTTTTAGGATCGTTTGTTAGTTTTGCCAAAAAAAAATGCCAATGGGAGAGATTGTTAAGTATTTTTATTAGTTGGCAATTTATTGGCAATCTTGTAAAAATTTAAAAAACAGGTTCAAGAAGATTTCGTATTGCAAAAGAAGATTCAGAATCAGATTTGAAGTTAAAGATTACACAGAGATAAGGATAAAGCCTTGGTCAAATGAAGATAAGGCATGTTGTGTGCAGATTTGTTGGAGATATGGATTGTGTTTCAATTTCAAATGAGAAGATTAAAAGTGGCACCTCACGTGGAGGAGATAAAGCATATTATGGTTTGGTTTTATGTTTGAATTTCAAAGAGAGCTTTATCTACAAAAGTAGATTTGAAGATAAATGGGAGATATAGCACATGGAGATCAAGGAAAGTTTATCTTTAGAATATATATATATATATATATATATATATATACATACATATTACACATGGACGTGGGTGTTTTTTTGTACATTGATGTGGAGCAAACATATTAAAGAGAACATGAAGATTATATGATGTATGTTGAATTCAGTTTTGAAATTCAAATGCACATATTAATGCTGCAAAAGGTGATGCAAAAAAAAAAAATGAAGATATTGTGCATTATCCGGATTCAAAAGGAGATCCAGTTTTAGTTTGAATTTAAAAAAGATGCTCAACGTAGAGAGAACTTGGAGGAGCTTTGATAAGATAGCTCACAAATATTTTGAGGAAGAGATTCGTGTGAAGTCTAAGAGGTTTTATTTAAAGGTTTCATCACAGCTCATAATTGACGGGGATTTAATAGAATATTTTCAGAAAAGAGTCTGTGAGTTTTTTTGTGAGTCTTGTGCGTTATTGAGATTGTCTTTCAGGAGAGGGATTTGTTACTTTCGGGAGGAAGCTCTGTCGGTCGAAGGGAGTTCACTATGCAATTTAGAAGACGTGTGATGCACGCTAAACAGAGTCATTGTGCGATTTCATCACAATGGCTTCATAGTCTATGAGGGAGTCCTTGAGTGAATGAGTCTATCAGTGTTGTAATTCTTGAAGTATAATGAAACTGTTTATTGTCTGGGCGTGGCCGCGCAGAGTATGTGTACGCACCAAACTGCGATATCATATTGCGTGTTCCTTTACATTATGCACTTTCTTTTACTTGAGCAACTGAACGTAATTAACCCAGATCTAACACTTGTAAATCTTAATTTTGCGTATGTATGAGGAAGATGAGGTAATAGCCGGAAATGAATGAAACATCAAAAGTTTTATGAAAAAAAAATATATAAATATATATTTTTTTTTTCTTAGGCATTTTTAACAATGATCAATTTCACAATTATGCAAACAACTGTTGTTAAAAGATGATTTTTTGACTATCGTCAAAAGGGGTAACACTTTTAACGATACTTGAAAAGACGACAGTTCTACAATTATTGTTAAATGTCAGTTTTAAATAGAAAATATGTACTAGTGATGGTATCATTTGAGCGCCTTAAAAATGTAAAGATTTGTGTTTGCCAACTAAGTATAGATTGACGCGCTCCTCCTCATTTAGAGATAAATTTCAATAGTAAGATTTTTAATGAATATTTCTATCGGTATCTGATAAGCTCCTTTAATAATAACGTCAACAAATACACAAACAAACTAAAGGTAGTTAAAGTTCAAAAGACGTGATATGTTTACAAATTCATGATCAATATATCTTGAAACTTGGATTGCTTAACAAAGACGTCAAAACACAACAATTATTGTTCTTTCAAAAATTCAAAATTCAAAGTTTGATTCTTGACCGATCGACCAGACACATCTTGTTAACTTTACAAATTTGAGTCAATAGTTATGCCTTGAAACATTTCTTTTGTGGCCTAAACATTTATTTATCCGAAACACGAAAGAAAAAGTCTCTTTCTGTACAGACGACTTATAATTCTATCCTTGGCTATTTTGTCTCTTGGGTTCTACATTGGAAACCGCCAGAAGAGAGTCCCTATAATGCAAAGGAAAATGAGTGGGGCATGCTGCATGCATGAGTACAGAGCGGCAAATTATAAAGTGGAATGTGGCGTATAGTGCAGGCATACACCAGTAGATCATGATCAGTAATGCTCTGATAAGATCTGATCATCATATATATAATCGATCATGATCATGATCTAAGTAGGCATGTAAAGGTGGTAGACCCTTGTGTCTGTGGTCCTCGCTAATGAGTGATGACTGATGATGAGATAGCTGGGGTTTCGCCTAAAGAATGCACAAAGAAAAAAAAAAAAAAAAAAAGCTTTCTCAATCCCAAACTATACGTTTGTATTTGTCTTTTGCTATACATTATCACATATATATGAGTTGTCACTTGGTGTGTTCTACGTACTATTATCCTTTGTGGATATGTTTTTGGGATTCCCTTGTTTGATTCGTTGTATTTCATGATCAACCCTGTCTTTATCCTTTGTTGTGAGTTTAGTTAGCAGTCATTCAACGTTGAGAATGACCAAATTGGAAAATATTCTGAATTCTCTCAACTATATATACATGATTAGTGAGTTCATGATCATAAACGAAGCCAAAATCCATCACCTTATGCAAGAATTAATACGTACAAGATAGAACTCAATTAATGTACATATTAACGTGTGATATATATATATATATATATATACATACATACATACACACACCACATTGCATCGTCACATTAATGTGTGATGTATACCTTTGGTTTTACTCTATATTCTATATATGTTTTCAACAATATATAGAAATTACCGACCTTGTAATTAAAATATACATTGAATCTTCTTTTCTCCTTTTTCTAATAAATGTTCGAAGGAAATTGTCTGATCAGTTGAAACGGGATGAGTCCTAATAAATACATTGTCTAGATACATATAACTTTCAGTAGTGTAATAAATGTGCAAAAAGAAACTCCTATTTTATAATCCAGAAAAAAAAAAAGTCTAACTTTGTTTTATCTTCTAAACTTATAAACTGATGACATAGTTTTGAATTATTTAATTGCCTAGCCAAAAGGGACTTCACGTTGGACATAATTAATCTACTTGTTGAAAAAAACTCTACTTTTGATCACTTCTAGAAAACTATCCTTAAGTCAAGGCTTACAGATTATTATTAAATTTACTTTTAGAAGCATGAGTTTAAATTTTTATAATTTATTCTTAATTAATATATTTTTTACTAATATAGTTATTTGATAAAAAAAAATATTAATTAAGAGTATGACATAAAAATTTAAACCTATACACTTTAAAATATATTTATCTTTTTTCTCCTCAAGCTTAATATACCTTTTCAAATATATGACCCAAAAAAAAAAAAAAATGTCATGTGCTCAATGCTTAACAAAATTCCAATACTTTTAAAGTTTAAGATCGTTCGTTATGTTGTTTAAATATTTTTTAGATTATTGTTATTCTGATTATTTCGTTAATTGTATGGTCAACAACCCAAAAACAAGGATATGGAAGATGAGAGCTGACCACGCAGGACACATGGACATCCCACATGTCGTTTGCCGACAAACCAATCGACAGTCATAGCGGGTCCCACCTCCCAGCCCCCACAAATTCACATGGCCATAACCTGCCAGTGAACGATAGCCACATGGGCTGTTCTTCTGTTTCTGTTTCATCCCTCTGATTTATCACCTTCACGAAATCTCAACCGTCTAATCCGGGTCCCACATTCGTCCAACACAACTCGCTTTGGCTTGTCGCCTTTCCTTCGGACACAACTGCCACGTGTCCCTCCTGTCACCGGCAACCGTATCTCCCAAACCGAGTTAAATCTCAAAATAAAATAATAACCAGAATCGATCAAATCCCTCCACTGTCTAACAAGCGTGGAGCGGGGCCCACCAACTCAAGCGCTGTTGCCCACCACTGGTTGGTCATTCAGCTAACCGCGTGCGGGACAGCTCTGTGGCGCTATCATTCCTCGCGTGTGCAAGAACCAAACTCAATATCGCACCACCAGAGAAATTGGTGAACGATCTGATCTCTATAAAACTCTCAAACCATTTTCATTTCTCCAGAGTCATCATCACTTTCACCACCGAAACCAAACAATCTAGAATTAACAGACAACGACAACCGACTCTTCAAGTCCAATTCAGTTTTTCGAACAGAATTTTCTCGAGAAAATTAAGAAAAACAAATGGAAATGGTCACCAGGATAGGGAAATTCGATCACGATGACGATCATCTCAATCTGAGACTCGGATTGCCCGGCACTTCCGAGGCGCGTGAGAAACAAGCGCCTTCTCTTGGTTCGAGAACTTCTAACAAGAGAGCTCTCCCTGAGGACGCTGAGGATCCTGGGTCTAACAGCAAGTGCAGCAGAACGGAATCTGCAAATGCCGATAGTGCCCTTCCCACCAAGTAATAATCAAGCCATTTCTTCTTCTATTACTACAATAAAGTGGTTTAATTTTGTGTTTAAGTACTTAATTTGATGTTAATTAACTAACATTATTGCGTTAATGACAGGACACAAGTGGTAGGGTGGCCGCCGATTCGGTCTTACCGGAAAAACAATACGCAATCAACGGTCATGAAAACGCCGCAGTCTGACGTGGCAGGAGGCAACAATAATTACGTGAAAGTAAGCGTCGACGGAGCTCCTTATCTGAGGAAGATCGATCTTAGGGTTTACAAGAATTATCCGGAGCTTCTCAAGGCATTGGAGAGCATGTTTAATCTCACTATTGGTAATTAATTATTTACAGATATTAATTTAGTTAATCTCTTCACATTATCATAATGGGATATTAGTGTTCTGATAATTATTATTTTTTTTTTTTTTTTTATTATCATCAGGCAATTACTCCGAGAGAGAAGGATATAATAATGGATCAGATTATGCTCCGACTTATGAAGACAAAGACGGTGATTGGATGCTCGTTGGAGATGTTCCTTGGGAGTAAGCTCTCTAATATTATTAATTCATAATTATGATGACTATCTAATTTAATTGTTGTTATTATTCTCTCCGAATTATTAGAAGTTGACAGTGTTTTACGTTTCTGATTGTTGCAGCATGTTTGTTTGCTCTTGCAGACGACTGAGAATCATGAAAGGCTCAGAAGCTAGAGGACTGGGTTGTGCATGAAAATCCAAACACGACCTGGCGACCATAAGATTATCAAGGAAAATTCCTAGGAAAGAAAATAATAATAATAATAATAAACACAGAGTTTAGCTGCAATTGTACAGAGCAAAATATATGTATTGAATATTTTAGTCCTCAGTAATAGGTTATATTATTATGTATGTAAATCACTATAAGATTACACAAAAGCGAAATATGCCACAATTTTTTTCTTGTAGATCTACATTTATTGTAATGATTTAAAGTCGAAAGAAGTTACAATGTCTAATACAAATTGTTGTTTCTAGTATTACCGTTTCCAAGTACAATTTTTTCCGGCATCTCTCAATACAACCAACAACTCTGGAAATATTATCAGATGTTCTTTGACTGACTTTTGTTTGGTCTAATGCTTTTTCTTTTTTTAATAGTAATTCTTGGCAAGAGGTAGATAGATGATTCAAAATTCTTACCAGCGAATTATCGTACGCCGGACAACGTGATCTGAAGAAAACCGTGAATATAAACTTAAGTTATTTATTCAGCAAAAGAAAAAAAAAAGAAAAAAAAAAAACTTTTTGAGTTATTTGTGATATAATCTAAAGCGCACAAACTCGAGTATAATATATTGGAATTTGAAAGAATTGTTTTACTTGTAACATTTTCCATGTCTATCAAAAATATGAATTTTAAAGTACTCAGGCAGCAAAACCATTTATACACCGGAAAAAAAAAAAAAAAAAAAAAAAAAAAAACCACACACACATAACTGATTAACAGAATATTGCAAGTTCCTTTGAGGGAGAGAGAGAGGAGACAGATACATATTGTAATTTTTTTTTTTTGGGTAGAAGAGAATATTGTCAGTTGCAACTACCCTGGAAGTTATTTATAAATATATATTTGGTGAAATTCTACGGGATAAAGTTATACTCTTCAAAGAAATCATCTACAGAATCTTAGATAACCATAAATAATGGAAACGAGATCTTCAAAAATCTTCAGCCAACAAAGCTGTCGAATAGCTCTATTTCAACCCGCACTAACAACCTGGGTCGAACTTCTTAAATACAACAATGTCATGATCTCTTAAATACAATGTCATGATCAATATAATTTCAGAAATTCAAAGAGCCAAAACATAGAGAGGAGATCAAATTCCTTCACACCAAATAAAGGTCGAAATACATGATAAAAACCCAGAAATGAAAAAAGCCTTTAACACGTCTCTATCAAAACTTATATCCATGCTCTGTACAAAGAATTACCAACTGGCATAGAAACATACACTACTTTCATCAAAATCAGTTAAAAAGGTGAAAAATTCTCTTGAACCATTAAATGTGCGTCCATCCTGCTATCCTGATGACCATTAAGGGACTCCATTCTTGTATCTAGAATCGCAAGTTGGGCCTTCACCCATGGCGGGTTGTATCTGCCTTCAATCCACAAGGCTTCTCCAGTATCTTTGTGTTTGAAGTCTGGGTATTTCGGGTTCCTCTGGGAATTGGAATAAACAACATTGAAGCAAAGAGAAGGAAAACATGACATGTTTTTGAAGTTCAAATGAACAAATCAGAAACTAAAATATATCAAGATTTCAGTTCGGCATAAGGCTTCAAGAACTTTAGCAATGTAGCATTTCGTCCCAGTTAAGTTCAGTTTCATTAGAAATGGACTGTGACAATTTTACAAATATAGCTAGCATCTCATTTCAATAATATCCGTCACAATAAAATATTTATAAACAGAGTTGACGAAAAGACGTTCATATTTTCTTTTCTTTTTTTTTTCTTTTTTTTTTTGAGGGATGTTCATCTTTTATCTTGGTCCACAAGTTAATATATTTTGAGTTCACTTCCATGGCTCTTAATTTTAAGAAATGGAGAAAAAGGTGCAGTCCAGCTACATTATTGTACCTTGGTTTTCCTATTATCCCACCAATCCACGGGATTAGCAAAGAAGGCTTGCCATAATTGTTCTACTGTTTCATCGCTACTTGCACCATTGTTTCCAAGCTTTCTACCTGCAAGAAGTTTTTGAAAAATACATAGCATTAGGCTTTAAGCACTTGAAATCTTGTTAAGGCGCTGTTTAAAAGTATGACTTGCCTGCCAACATGGAATCAGAACCATGATCATACATGGTCGCTGATGAGAAGCTCTTTTCGATAAAGTTCAGTTGCTGCACAACCACCTACAGAAGATGAATAAGGTGTCATTATCCATTTGATCATGCTAGTGGAGTTACAAGATGAAATATCACAACACAGTATATGGTAAAACCTTGTAGTATGTCTGCTGTTTCCCCTCATCATTTTCAACTGTGTCCGAAATCAGACGTCCACTGACATATATTTGTTGGCCTTTTTGTACATGTTGAAAAGCAACTTGTGCTAGTTCATCCCAAAATGTCAAACTGATCCTGGAAAACACCAATTTTTCAAGTTATTAAGGGCTTGAAATGCCCACCTCACACGTTTATGAAAATAACACCTCAACGGCATCAGTGGAAGCAATCAAAAGAATGTGAACATGCTAAGGAAACACTTGACCCAACAGTTAATATTTCTTTACCAAACCAAAAGGCGTAGAATACTCATGAGAGAAAGAGACGGAGTTTGAGCTTCCAATTAGATTCATCTATAAATCGTCTCACAACCATTGTCGATATATTGCAAAATCGTATTTGATTTTAGAACACATGAAGAGCTAGTTAGATTGTTACTAAATGGGGCTGTCTGATATATTCTTCTCTACCCATTTATTCTTTTCTTTCTCAGACATTTTCCATTTGCTCCTTGGTAATAAATATCAGTGAATTAGTATCTCTTTGCTTCTTTTTTCTATCAACTACTTCCAAAACCTTGAACCGTTTCATGTCTAAATGGAAAATTTCTCAAATCCAAAAAGTCTACCTTGTGAAAACCAAATGCTCAATCACAAATCATAGCAACCTCAATTGGATGCAACAATACAAAAACACGGAATTCAAGACATTTCAATCGTTTTTCCATTTTCACATGCGAGTGCATGAAAAAAAAAAAAAAAAAAAAAAAAAAAACAATCGCTTCACTGATGAGACACAAACACCTTAGAAATCAGTTAATCCCAAAAAAAAAAAAAATTTGATTTTTTTTCCCGATAAAACCCTAGATATCATGACGTAAAAAATCCAATTACTGAGATGTGGTTGAATTACCAGGAGGTGTCGGTGGAAGACTTCTTGACGGCGAGACGGGTCCAGGCGAGGACCTTGCCGGAGGCCAAGTGCTTGATTTCGACGGGAACACCGACGACGCCGATGAGGTGCACCGTATTGCAGAGTTCCTTCTTCCACTGAATCTCCGCCGGTCTAGGGTACACCGTCGTTTGCTGGTTGTTGCCATAATAGTCTCTGCTGAACTCCACAGAGCACTTGAAACGACGCCGTGCGAAGCCCAATCGGTTTGCGTTCGAGGTCCGGGACAGGGAAGAGATATTGGGGTTCAAGAAAAGCAAGTTCCTAGCTGAAGAAACTGTTGCTATGCCGCTCTTTATCGCCATTGCTCGCTTTTACCTAAGAAGCTACGCGCCAATACTTCCTTTTATCTTCAAAGCCTCCTATGCCGAGAGACGAGGCAGTACCGGGCCTTTGGTCTGTCTGATATTGGGCTTCTGAAATTGGTGTCTGGAGATGCACTGAAGGCCCATGAAACCGAGCCACAGGCCCATTAGGATCGTATCTAGTTGGGGTCCTTTACAAAAACACTTTAAATTAGAGAAAGGGGGAACGAGGGAAATGGCAGATTTTCGGCCTCATTCATTTCACTAGTTCAAATCACAACTCAAATTTTTACTATAATATTTTTTCTCAAAAAAATTTAAATTCAACACTTTCTACTACACCGCTTTCTCTCATATGAATTTATTTTTTAACTTAAATTTTTAACTCGAACGAGGCGTGAGAATAAAAATTTATATTCGACCTTGTCTCTCATCCTCAGATTCGGCCATCTTTGTCGTCGATCCTCGCCTGTGCCCTGGCCGACCATCTTCGGCGAGAAAGAGTTGCAAACATTGTCCACGAAGAGAGAAAAAGAGAGAGCGCATGAGCGAGTTAAGTGAGAGAGATAAATTGAGCAAGCAGATAGAGAGAGAAAGGAAGAAGAG